GTCAAATCTTAAGTCAGATTTGAATTTCTGAGAACATGTAGATGATTTTGAAAAAAAAATTAGTCAATTTGAAGCAAGTTGAAAAAAGACCTTTTTGACCTTTTTTGACCTTGAGAAGGTCATTGAAGGTCAAATGTCAAATCTAAAGTCAAATCTAAAGTCATATTTGAATTTCTGAGAACATGTAGATAATTTTGAAAAAAATTTAGTCAATTTGAAGCAAGTTGAAAAAATACCTTTTTGACCTTTTTTGACATTGAGAAGGTCATTGAAGGTCAAATGTCAAATCTAAAGTCAGATTTGAATTTCTGAGAATATGTAGATGATTTTGAAAAAAAAATTTAGTCAATTTGAAGCAAGTTGAAAAAAGACCTTTTTGACCTTTTTTGACTTTGAGAAGGTCATTGAAGGTCAAATGGCAAATCTTAAGTCAAATCTAAAGTCAGATTTGAATTTCTGAGAACACGTAGATGATTTTGAAATTTTTTTTTAGTCAATTTGAAGCAAGTTGAAAACAGACCTTTTTTACCTTGAGAAGGTCATTGAAGGTCAAATGTCAAATCTTAAGTCAGATTTGAATTTCTGAGAACACGTAGATGATTTTGAAAAAAAAATTTAGTCAATTTGAAGCAAGTTGAAAACAGACCTTTTTGACCTTTTTTGACCTTGAGAAGGTCATTGAAGGTCAAATGTCAAATCTAAAGTCAGATTTGAAGGTCAAATGTCAAATCTAAAGTCAAATCTAAAGTCAGATTTGAATTTCTGAGAACATGTAGATGATTTTGAAAAAAAATTTAGTCAATGTGAAGCAAGTTGAAAAAAGACCTTTTTGACCTTGAGAAGGTCATTTAAGGTCAAATGTCAAATCTAAAGTCAGATTTGAACTTCTGAGAACATGTAGATGATTTAGAAAAAAATTGAAGTCAGTCTAAACAGTATTTGTTAAGTTATAGGAAGTTGTAAGAAATTGTTACAGACGCCGGACGCCAACCTCCAACCACCAACCGCCAACCACCAACCGCCGTCGCAAAAAAACGGAGGCCATAACAATATGTCACCACTTTTAGTCAATTACTGCGGCGAGCGTAGAAAAACTACGCTCGCCTTGCGGTCTCCGTACGGCGTATCCAGTTTTTTACAGGCCGCAGGATCGCTGTTGAAATTGTAACTCGGAGTTATAATATTTGTTCATTTCTGAGGTCCCCGTAGAAATCAACTGGCTCAACAAGATTGAATCATTATTTGTCAATGTTTCACGATCACTTTTCATTTGATATTACATCCTGGCACTATGAATAACATTTATAAATTGTCCTGATGTCAATAAAGTGAAAAAAGTATTATTTATCAACAGAAATTTAAAATTCACCGTGCGGCTGCCGTGGGAAATGTGACTGCAAAAGTATGAGAGCGCAGAAATTCTACGGCGAGCGTAGAAAAGCTATTGGCCGCAGAAATGATAGACCGCACGGCGGCCGTGGGAAATGTGACTGGGGTGTTAGTGCGCTCGGATGAGGTTTTTTTTGTTGAAAATATGCGACCATGTAATTTTGGCAACGAGGCTTTTTGTTATTTTTCTTGATACCAGGGGGTCGATTTTATTATTTTCTTGATACCAGGGGTCGATTTTATTACCTGGGTGCACCCCAGTTGTCCGAAACCCAGTTGTCCGAAACCCAGTTGTCCGAAACCCAGTTGTCCGAAACCCAGTTGTCCGAAACCCAGTTGTCCGAAACCCAGTTGTCCGAAACCCAGTTCCCCGAAACCCAGTTCTCCGAAAAATTTAGTCATACTTTACCAGATAAAGGGGGACGCACCTCAAGCCAGTTTCATGTCATGTATTTGGCAAAATTAATGGCATGGATGCATTCTGATGTATAGATCTCTCTTTCACTTTGAATTGCATCCATTACACGGCGTTACCAGAATGACAGGAACGCAGGGGCGTAGGAAGGTGTAAATTCAACACTACGCCAAAAATCCCGCAAAAAATGAAACAATTGTGTCAATATTCTATATCAAAACGCCTATATTATGCTCGTAAAACGTCATTTTATGGTAACAGAGATTTTAAGCTTGCTATATTCACAACCTAAATGTGAACGGAAATAATTAAGCGATGCATTTGTATGGGCGATTGGTCATACGTATAGGTTGACGTTTCGATTTCATATGCAAGCTTTAAATCCCCGATACCTTTTTAATGTGCTTTAAAATGTTCGAATGATTTTCATCATTTAAAATCACCTTGGAAAGCCTATCTTTTAAATCTCGACACAAATCATTCTCACTTTGCTAATGTCTCGAACGATTGAGACGACCAATTTCCAAAAAACAATTAGAGATTTTTTAATCATTTTCGAATAATTGAATTAAGATATAGTATTGTCGGATTCCATCGTGTACCGTGCAATACAATACGTACAGATTAAAGAAACTAGTTTGATCAATTGATATAAAGAAACGCATTCGTGATCAATGAAACAAATAAACACACCCACCACAAAGGTCAAATCGAGGTCAACGTGACTTAGGGGATGCCAAAAAATGTTATAAAACAAGAATCCATTATTTTTCAAATGAAAAAAACTAGGTTATCGCTTTTCTAGAACTGAAATCAATGGAACGTGTAATTGAATATACAGCATTTTCAAGTTGTTTTTGTCTTTAACATCCATATTTCAAAAAGTACTACCAATAACAATTAGTGATTTAGTAAGAAAATAGATAATTGTTGACTTAACTATAATTTCGTGTCTATGATTTTGCATAGCAACGGAATATAAATCGAGTGAAATTGAAAAATTGGGGTAGGGGAGAATAAAAAAAATATACATCTTTTAAAGAGGTTCATCATTATATTTATATGATACCATAGTGAGCATAAGCATTACGGAAAATGCAGAAAAAAATGTCAAAGGTATTCATCAAGTAGTTTTTGAAAAAAACAGTTTTCCTCTCAAATTCGTGAAGAGAACGCGATTCACGAATATTTGGCGAAGTTGTATTTATAAGACAGTCAGTAGTGGCTCGATTTTCATGAAATAAAGCATGTTGGTAAGGGAATTCAATCTGTTAAAAAGTTAAAAAAGTCATTTTTATTCTCACTTTTCAACACTACGCACTGGCGTTTTGGCGTACATTGTTCCTACGCCACTGGACATCTGATATGTATATATGCCACATATATAAGTTATACGAAATGAGCATATTTTATTGATTTATCGAAAATTTGGACGAAATCTAAACAATGGGTGGTACTGAACAACCAAAATCTTCTTTTTAGATATTTTTCAGGGTAGAAATATTATCAATTGCAAATTGATATTGGAAAACATAATTAACCATATTTTATTGAGAAAAGGGAATGAAAAAATTATCAAATGAATATATATAATTGTCACGGACGTCCATGTTATTCGAATGAGATAGATATTCCTTTCGCCAGAATATTCTCTTCGACTGTGATAATTGTCTAAAATGTTGGCGGCAGTCTTGAATTTTCACCAAGAAGGAGTGCGATTCGTGCTGGACAATGCGGTTCAAAATTTGTAGAATGTCCATATAAGTCTAGGTTATGTGCCGAGAATCTAGTAAGAATATATATGATCGTGAACTTTCGGACCCATTATTGACCGGGCTAACCGATGTCAACGTGATACCAATGTTATGCTGTCCTGATTCGCGAAGTTGCGACAAGATTCGTTACCGCTAAGACATTTAATTTTTTAATTTTCGGAGAACTGGGTTTCGGACAACTGGGTTTCGGAGAACTGGGTTTCGGAGAACTGGGTTTCGGAGAACTGGGTTTCGGACAACTGGGTTTCGGACAACTGGGTTTCGGACAACTGGGTTTCGGACAACTGGGTTTCGGACAACTGGGTTTCGGACAACTGGGTTTCGGACAACTGGGTTTCGGACAACTGGGTTTCGGACAACTGGGTTTCGGACAACTGGGTTTCGGACAACTGGGTTTCGGACAACTGGGTTGACCCCTAACGCAATACACCACCACCGCAGAAAAACGCAGTATTAGTACTGTTTATACTGTTTCGTTTGCCTTAAAATAGTAATGCCAGATGTGTATAAATGTGTGTAATTATGCTATTGTGTACTTAATGCATGGGTCACATTCGCTCCGATCCATCGGCCGGAGCCCGTCCGATTGAGTGTTTTGTTCAATATTGTATTCAATTTTGAACAAAATACTCAATCGGCCGGGCGCCGTTGTGAAAATCGGAGCAAATGTGACCAAGGCATAAATTGAGGAAATACATGATGAACCTTTGTAGTGTATATTCAGATTTTAGACCAGGTGTAAAAGGGTAGGAGGTCCTATTAATGTATGGTCCTACTCTCCATTGATTTATATGGTGACCCCTTTCCCTTATTATCTTATACACAATCAGGGCCAGTAAGGGCCTTTAAAAAGGGGGACCATAGTTTCTTTCACACCGGTTCCTTACCTTGAAAATTATTAGGGTAATATGGTTTAATGTATTTTCAAGTTTTTGCCAATGACATAATTTTAAATTTAATCTTGGTATGGAATCGGCTCTGTCAATTAACGCGAGGAACTTTTGCAATTTTAAGCATGGAGTAGGATATCAGCCATCTTGAAAATCCCAAAATGATTGCGCTGAGTGTTTTATCCAATCAAGTATATTTCGGAATTGAGTATGATTATGTCATGAATAAAAAATTATGGCTTCTCGATAAGCAATAATGTTAGCTCGACCTTAAGCAGCATTTTTACATGGAATTGCTTTCTTAACTGTACATTCATTTTAGATTTGTCCAGTAACTTAATCCTCATATGGCAGGTGTCAGTTTTTGTCAGTGAATAGCACAGTTCATTAGTTGATCATACCAAGGATCAGATTGACTTTATTGAACATTAATACAGTAGAAATAGAGTCTTAACCAATACATATAGGAGAGGGTGTGCATAAAGTCTCTCTACAATAGTATTAAAATTATACTTGTTACATAAAGCCTCGGTCACATTTGCTCTACGGCAACCATACGATGGCCGTAGCTAACAAAATCGATATGGAAATCTACATCGTTCTGCTATAATTTTATGCTACATATTTCTCTCGATTTTGGGAAGCTACGACCACCGTACGGTTACCGTGGATAATTTGTCTGAGCCATAATGCCAATCCTTTGAACTAGGCTAGCCCATACTAAAAAGTACAGACTGCATGATAGGTTCATCAAAGTTCAGCTAAGAATCGCAACGGACCCAAGAATAACGCAACAATAGAATTCTCAGTATGAAATCGGCTAAATATTTGATTCACAGAAAACAGAATAGTTTGCAGTAGCAGCCCCGGGTCTCGGTTGATGAGCCTGAGCATAGTTCATCTCAATGATTCTTTGAATGATATTATCATCAACAAAATCCACACAGAGCATATTAAATGGAATATAAGTCCATTCTTTCATCGCCTCTAAGACGCTATGATTTGCTGCGTGAGCCATATCTTCTAAAAATTCAAATTTTTCATCGGCACAACGGGAGACTACGACACCAACCATGTTGCCGATATTCCTTGCGATAATGTAGGCGTCGGGAGTGAGTTCAGCTTTATACCATATAAGGTCATGTTGTCGATTGGTCATGCAGTAGTCATACGCTTCTTTTATGTCTTCTGAAAGCTGATGTGGGTACTGCTTGTTTGGCCAATAATGTGTAAGATTAGGCCAACGGTCATTGACCTCATAGAGACCAAATAGTATTACATTCCCACCCTGCCTAGTGATCTCCCCTAAAATGGAAAATAATTTTAGTTATATGAAAGTTGAAAAATTCAGATATGTAAGTGCATAATGGGATTTTAGATGAATCAAAGATTACATGAAAATGACTTTGCTTCTCACCTAGCGTTTTGCCCATGTTATCTGGATGGACAATTTTTGATCCTAATATGTTACGTATTATATCATTTGTTTTACTCCATGCTAGTGCTTTGCCGTCATTCACTATATGCAGTCCTACAATTTCAGACGGATGCAGGTCCACGAATTGTTTTACATCTTCTACAACTTCTTTTAAAGTAACACATCTAATGATGTTGTGGTGGCACCAGACGTCATTTTCGTGGGACATGATGCGCAAATCCAGAAAACGAATTCCGGCGTTAAGCTGCTCGGTGATAGAAAGATTTTGGCATTGGGACCAACCTTCTACAAGGGGCAGACATTTGTTTAGTTTTCTGTCAACCTTATACGTGGCAGACTGATGACTTCCCGGGAGGCATATGTTTTCCATCCTAACATCGTGGAAGTTCCCCATCCAATCCGTTCTATCATCAAACATTAATGTAGCAGTTTTTGGTGATTTCTTTCGCCCAACTTCATCCCACCATTCACACATGAATCCCAGGAGACTTATTGGAGGTAGAAGCCCAGTGGTCGCTTTAAGAGCCGCCCTTTCAGCTTGGGACTTATTGCCCCATGGTAAACACATATAGATGGCACTGACTATGTGGCCAATTATGGGTAGATTCTCAAATACACGCAAGATAGCGTTGGAAACATGTCTAATGTTCATACAGCAAGAGACGCAGCAGTTACACATGCAACGTCCTTTGTTGCAGCATCCCCCCATGGCTTCCTGAAATTAAGATTATTTTTACAAACCTTAAATTTAAGGCTAAAATGTAATGTATCTGGCACTATGAATATCAATGGTCAGACTGCACCATGAAGACTAGAGTAATTTAAAATTCATCTATAGGCCTCGATTCCAAACATGATATATAATGGATCTTTCTCTCTCAGAACGCAGTAAGAGACCTTCATAATGGGCAACCCATAATCATTTTGGTAATGACCACATCATTCTGTTTTACAATTGATAGAAGGCTGAGGTGTCTAACCATGGCCCTTTAAAACAAGCCACGACATTTCTAGTGAAACTGATGCACGAATATAATTCATAATTGTGTACTACTTACGCTTGGTCAGATAAAATTATAGTTGCAAAAGACAGGCCTCTGATATGCTTTTGAATTATTGTGATAATCCTCGTTTTCCTATTACCACCATCATCATAGTATAGTACTTCGTGGATGTTTGCAATGCTCTGTTTGAAAATTACATTTTCGATATCAGAAATATGATTCATGTATCATTTCGTTTTAGAATTGTACATACTTTACAAATGTGTATTATGACTAAGTTATTGTGTTATACGTGTTGCTAATTAAGACGGAGTAAAGTCCATAGATATAACATATTTGAAGAGTGTTCAAATATATGTATACTATTATCTATAAGCAATTTAGTCATTTAATATGTCTATAGATAAGCACTATAAACAAGCAAATCGAATATAGCCTACTTTTGAATTAGTTCACAACACAACGCTCCATAGGCCGTATATATCCAAAGTCTCGTTTTAAATAGCCTTTATGAATCTAAATTGACATAATTTCTAATAGATTGAATACAACTTTATCAAAGTCAGGGTACGGTTTTGGTTGGTGATACAAAGAGGGAGAAAATGTTAGCAATTTCAATGTACTTTTGCTTTAAATATAATAACGAAAAATATCATAAAGAATGACATTCATATTTGCAAATAGTGTGAACTTGAATTTTACCAGAATATAGTATTTATGAAAAAGATAAATAAAAGAGGCACTAAAATGGAGCCTTGGTGAATACCGCAATGAACTGATTACATCATATATACTGTATGTATAAAGTTAAGCTCATCCTTGCTGCAAGGGTATTTTACAAGTTTATAATTTAAGCATAAACTGATAAATGAAGTCCTTTGAAGGAGGATGGGTCAAGCTTATGTGGGGGAAATAACTTTTATCGAGATCAAGGTGAATGGCAGTACCTCTAATAGTATTTAATTTAATATGTCCTAGCTTTGAGCAGAATAAGGCCACCATACAAACTAAACCAATTTTTCTCATATTTTTCGTTTAGAGGTAACCAACATTTTCAGAAAGGCCTTAGTTAAGCTAAAACCTCATGTTTAGGACCCCTATTCCAACCAATAAGAATTGAAAATATATATAACCTGTAACATTATAGGCCAAATGATTTATCTTCCAAATAATATGCAATACGATGAGATATCTGTAGGGCCTTAATAGCCCCTCAATGACACACGTCCTTTGCGAGTGTTATTGTCCACATATGGTACATCAATGACGTTACTAATATTGCCTATCGCGTGTTTCTGTTTATCGTTTACGATATTTCAGATACTGTGTTAAGCTTTCGAATCGTAATTCTACACTTAGGATGGAATAGTGGCAGGTACTATTCATAATTCAACGAGTTACCCATAAGTAAATAGCGTTCTCATTTCAAACACTTTGGACGAAAACATTTTATACACAGGTATCCACTCAATTATGCTGGTTACCGAACGGATTCGGTAACAATTAAAATGTCGGAACCTTATTTCACGCGAAGAAAAGAAAAATCGTACCTCTGAGCTTCCGACATTTTGTTACCGGTTCGTTTCGGTAACCAGCGTAATCGAGTGGATCACCAGTGTAACATCCCATTTTTTCCAAAAACGCCTCGTACTCGTCAGTTCCCCGAGGTTTACATTTTTGCCAGTCCGTCATTTCCATTGATTAACGTCATTGCTATGTCAAATGTCTTGTTGTTATTAAAACTGCTTCCAGGCCAACAAAGTTAATTAATTATTTTTCAGGAAAGATACTGCAATGATGAAATGTGTGGACAAAACGGTATCGTATTAATACCTCGCTTATTAAAATAATATTCTTTGTACATTCTTAACGCACTAAGCAAGTTAATTCGCTATAGCCACAACCAAATGAGAGTAAATACTTAGTGAGAGCAAAAATTGCGCTTAAACCCATTAATTGTTTAGATCGTGTAAGTTAAAGTTGCAAAACCATGTTAGTTTTTTGAAAATTCAGTTTGTTTTCACTGCTAGAGAGTAGGGTTATCTCAGATTATTTTTAGTTTAATATTAGTAAGATGTGTAGAGCTTATCATCATACATCACTAACATTTGAAATTATAACTTTATATCCCTTCAAACATTTTTTAGTCCAACTAATATGATTTTTAACGCATTTATTTGTGTGGACAATGTAGTGATGCAATATTACATTGTTGACAAATTGAATCTTGTTACTAGTATGTAAGAACGTATAAATAGCAATGACTTTAAACATGTTTAACCCATGTTTGCTGTCCACGGGGATATCCATTGAATTGTCGGTTAAAGATGTTATAAAATGGCAATCATAATATGTTCTTAGCTTGTATTTTAATTGTAATTTAATTGCCTTTGACCAAAGATACATGTTCTATGTAGTATCCAACCATTGAATTTGTCTAAAAATCTAAAAGGTTAAGACAAATGTTCTGAATACTTCTTCAGAAAATTCAAATCAAAACTTGTATCCTAATTGTGTGTCAAAATACCACCACTCGATGTGAGGCTCGTAGAATCACTGCTGCTGAGATGTATGTGATAATATATATGGATGCACTCGCACATGTTTACATCACAACGTTGTCCATACACGAAAAATATAGACAAATCACTCATAAATTCCAACAGTTACATATATTTGGGAATATAAGTGATGGGTTAGTACAGGTACCTCATGGGACGTTCCTAGGAGTTACATAAACACCATAAAAATAAGGAGAATTCCAAAATCTTTTGTAAAATCGCATTTAACTTTCAATTTCATAATAAGTTGACCATATTGGGGGTTTCATTGAAGGTGTACCGTGTTCATTGACACACCATCAAAACATTTTACCAAGTATTGGCATTACAAAGCGTTCAAATATGAAATATAAACATACCTTCCCTCCAAGACCTCCATTTTGCCGGGCTTTGTCCACACATTTCATTGCTTCAAAAAATTGTCCATGCTCATACCAGGGGGTGAAATGAGAGGTACAATGATTGTATTAATCTGTAGTAAAGTCTTCAATAGAAATGTGGGAAAAGGATATGCCAAAAACCAGCAAAAAGTTGTTTGTGTACTGAAATTTCCTTGTTTTGGTAGGATTGACGTCAATAATAAATATAAATTGCAATCGTCGAGTTTTTACGTTATATGTAATCTCATGTTGAATACCCGAATATTTTTACAGCAATCATTTGTGCATGTTAATATTCTTCTGGCGCGTCACAGATTAGTTTGAAATAAATGTTAGCTCGTCATTCTGATAGTTATCATATCCCTCTGTTATTCAACTAGATAGGAACTAATTGAAGGCAACGATTCTCGCCTAACCATCGTCAACGTACGGTGACAAAATATACCGCTGTACAGTTTAGATGTACCTGCAAAAACATGATAAAGGTTTTAAAACAATTTTCTTAGGAATATATATCTTTTATTTACTCAAAACCCATGTCGTATAAATGACATATCGGTCACTACAGTGTATAAAAAAACTACAAACTAAGCTACATATTACAAAACTACTTTGCATAATACATTTCATGTTAAGATAGAGACGCGCTTTTGTGGAATTCATTCAAACCTCGGAGACTACCGGAGCTATACGGAGATAATGAAGCTGAAGATCATTTGAAGAGGAAGTGCATTTTTGCAACTTGATAACGGAAAGCATGCAAAGCATTGTTGGTGGTGAACTGACTCAATAATCTGATTAAAACAAAGCTATTTCTTATCTAGGAATGACATGGTGCATCTAAACTGTACAACGGTATATTTTGTCACTGTACGTTGTCGATGGTTAGGCGTTTTATTTTTCAGTTTGTTGCTTTTAATTTTGCTAAAACCAGCTAAATACTGTATGATTAATGATTTATCATTTGAGCCTAGAGCTAAGATATTCTGTAATATCTTAATGACAATCTAGTCATGAAAACAATTTTTCATTCAAATCACTTAAGAAAGATCACTCTCTTAATGAGTGATAAGATATACAGGGTGTCAAAAAACAACGGGACGCTTGTCATATCTCATTCTGAGATAATTTAATTCTGGGGAGACTCATCAAATTTCATTTATTAAAACATTATCTCAAAAAGCTCTATTTTTAAATTTAGCTTCTACTGTACTTTGCTTGCTGCTTTTTTACTGGTTAAAGCTCAAATGAAAAGTGGAATATGCAAGAAATAGCCTAGATCTCAACAAGGCTGAACAATACATACAAGTTAATTGTGAAAGAGGAAAGGGGGTAGAGAAATCGATGGACAGAGAAACTCTTGAAAACGAAGTGTGTATTGTGGAAGAATGTGAGGAATGTGCTTAGAGGATTACAATCGGCTGTAAATCTGTAAAATTATACAGATAATTAAATTGTCTTTAAAATGAGATATGACACACGATGTAACATTTAGAACTTTTTGCTGTAGAGGAGGGTGCCTTTGTTTTTTGACAAGGGTTGCATTTTTCGGATCACCCCGTAGAAGATCTTGAGACACTTAAAGGTGTTTAAGAGATAACTATCTGATAATTATTGTTAGCATTAATTGCAAACGATGTTGTAATCTTTGCGTCAGGGCTAGAAGTAACGTACAGATGACGTCATTTCTACATAACTGGCTATTCACTCTGGAGAAATTATGAAACGGTCGTCATTGTCATTGTTTGTGAATTTCGAAACATTTGTGTATAAAAAATCACTAGAAAAATCCGAGATTTCGCTTTTCTATTAGTTTTAGTAAAAGATAAAACTCATTGTTATTTCAGATCCATCTGTATACATTTTAAGACAGAAATTAAAGAGAAAGTGCCATATATGCGAGCGAATGTTTAAAAATCATTATCAAAAGAGCAACAACTTGAAACCCTCATTTTTAAGAAAATTCGAGCAGTTTACCCAAGTAGTCTTCCATATCATTGTTAAACGCCCATTCACATTACAGTAAAACCTGTCTAAGTGAACAATCCTCTCTAGTGAACACATGTCTCTAGTGGAAACCCTTCCTCCACACATACGTCTTCTGTATAAATTACTCTCTCTCTCTGTGTAGTGAACACCTACCAATACTGAACGATTTTTTCTCGGCAAAAAATTCACTATACGCAGATTTTCCTGTAGTACCAACTAAATACTAGATTAGTGATATCCCCGAGAGCGTAACTGCAAAATGGCATGTAGGTGCTGCATTTTGGAATTTTGCACTTTTGAAAATGTTTGAAAAATGAGAATTCTACACGTGGAGAAATATCTCGGGGAGAGCACCGTACCATCCTATTCCCCCAATGTCCTCCCTGAGAGACATCCAGGTGATCGATATTTTTCGGGTATTTGTTGGTAATATCAATTTATCAATCAACAACACTTTTTGTAAATCCATAATTTTCAAAAATGTGTTGTAAAACATCTTATTCCACAGACTAGGTAACATTTGAGTAGTTATACGTCAGTCAGGGAGCCATATTCTTAGGTTGTACCACGTTGTACCATTACGTAACCCCTTTGTTCTAAGGTTGTACCATGTTGTATGTTACGTAACGCCTGGCGTAACACCCCTTTGTTCTAAGGTTGTACCACGTTGAATGTTACGCAACACCCTTTTGTTTAGGGATCGTTGTACCTCTCTATGTTACGCAACACCCTTTGTTAAGGGAGCCATACGTCAACGTTGTACCAAGCTATGTTGCTCAACACTCTTCCCTCCCTACGTCTCCCGCTCGCCTCATTAGCTCGATAACAAAGGAGGGCGACGATTAGTGAGCCATTTAGAAAATATGGTACAACACTGTAAATGTCGTACTTTTTACGAAACCTCATCACAGTGGGATGAATAGGGAAATTCGGTCTTTCATTTTATTTAGCCTCAGCTCACCGAGCTTAAGTTTAATAAGAGTATTTTAAGGTAAGACGTGTGTTTTAGACGACTAATACCATTTACCTTTCAATTTTAACTCAAAACAATGTACATGTAAACATGTAGGATACGCGTGTCATTTAATCGATATGTCATATGGTTTAAACGTCTGATCTTTTGAAAAGTGTAATAGAATCACTTGCGTGACATAAACAAACCATAACAAGATTAGAACATGGCTTGCTTTATATAAACTTATAGTTGGTTATACTCTATTCAATAAATAATATTGTCCCCTTGGGAAAAATGTATGGGATCATTTTATGCGAGAACTATAAACCATAAGAAGATTACACGTATAAACGGAGCTCACTCAATAGTATCCTATAATTCAAAACGTCTGGCCTTTAAATAAAAATCAATATTCAATTGGTACCACACCATAAACACTTGTATAATATCCGCCTTATAGTCAAAAAGTCTTGTGTCACTTAACTATTCTGACTAGGGTGTTTGAACGGTGAAGTTAAAAATGCAAAATAATTAAGAAATGTAGCATTGAACACAGACTGAAGTTGCAGTTTTTACACATTGGATATTTCACAATTTAGTACTAATATCTGTGAGTATTAATGTTTTAATATGTATTTATTTACTCTCTTTTCTTAATTTAGAGAGCATGGACAAATTCAAAAACGCTCAGTTCAGTATAAAAACATTTTTAAAATCATTGCAGGAGGCTACATTATAATTAATCAACTATTTACATTTTTCATTTAAATGAAACGTTAAGTTGAAATCTATCCCGATACCAAAAACTTATTTGCATTACGATATCATCGATTAAAAAGTATGACACTGTCTTGGGCGGGTAAAATATCAATAAGTGAAAGAACTGAACAAATTTATGCTTTATAGTGAATATGGATAAAGAAAAGGTTTATTGTCAAACTTGTGGCAAGTCATTCTCAAGTGTGCGTTCTCGAAACAGGCACAGGAGAGCTCAACACACAGACAAGACATATTCCTGTCCTACGTGTTTAGATGAATTTGACTATTCCCATTCCAGGGATAGACATGCAAAGAAATGTGCCAAAGGGAGGTGAGATGTGAAAAGCTACAACACTTATTTCTGTTTTATGATAATTTGCTGTTTTAAACATACAGGCGCAAGATGTGATTAACAAGTGTAAACTGTGACAAACTGAAACTATATTATTAACATCCATGATTTCAAGAACATGAAATTAACGTATAAAACTAATTGTTGAAATTCAAATTGGAACGTTTCAAAGTATAAACAAGCCTTCGAATGCTTGTTCAAATTCAACGAGAATGTAGAATGAGTGGTGTATCCTTTTAAAGTAACTGTAGGAATGGGATAACATGATAGTTTGTTGGTCTTATTATGTACACGTGTTAATAAGTATTTTGGGATGCTTTATATAATCGTTACATTTAAAGTTCCACGTACTTTTTAATTGCAGTAATAAAGAAAATAACCCAGAAGCTAGCCCTATCCCGCGACAACATGAGCGAAAACGACGGGCATCTCCGACACAAAATAATAGAACAATAAAAATCCTGAAAGATGGTCGAATACGGTAATAGGTCCACAGGATGGAACATGAAAAACATACTACATTTATATTTGGTTTAGCAGCATGAATAAATGAGCAATTAATCGAAGCCTCGAAGCACAAGATAAAGATCTTATATTTATTAGTATCTGTAAGCTGATTTGTAGGATCGGAAGTTATGACGTATAAGAGTATTTGAAGTCCTCTTGTGTTTTCAGACTTAATGAAAGAAAATCTAGACCGAGCATTGGCGCAGGTGCAAAACAATTACCTAGTACTGATCCTTTGCCAAGTATTTCTGGCAATAATTGTGACAATGTGACAAGGTAAGTTAGATAAATAAAGTTGGCAGCAATATCTCATCCACTTACTATTAATTACATCTAATATGTTTGATATGTAGAAACATTAAAATATTGGAGAAACCATCACTAAATGTAGACTAAGTTTAATAAATAAGTTCTCAATTTACCAACGTTTCAAATCGATTTTAATTTTAATCTCACAATATTTGC